TCTCCATCAAGATTCTCGGATGAGAATTATCCATAGAGACCTCAAAGCAAGCAACATATTACTAGATACTGACATGAATCCAAAGATATCAGATTTTGGTTTGGCTAGAAGTTTTGGTGGGAATGAGACTGGAGCTCAAACTAGTCGGGTTGTGGGAACACAGTAAGAATAAATCTCCATGCGACAATATAGCTAATGCATTTTCATTACTTATGACATTATTTCTTGTTTACGATTTCGTGCAGTGGTTACATGTCGCCAGAATATGTAGCGGAAGGTATATACTCCTTAAAATCAGATGTATTTAGTTTTGGTGTTTTAGTGCTAGAAATTGTGAGTGGAAAGAAAAATTGAGGATTTTCTCATAGTGATCACCATCTCAACCTTCTTGGACATGTAAGTATTTTTGTCTTACATTTATTGATGTGTGTTGTAAGTAAAAAAAAAAATGTACAGTGCATGTAATTACTATCATTAATAGTTTTATAAATCAAGGTCCTCTTAGCCTAATCCAATTGATACAGGCATGGATACTTTACAAAGAAGGAAGGTCAAAGGAACTGGTCGACACTTGTCCAATTGATTCAGAATACTTGAACGAAGTGCTGAGATCAATTCATGTGGGTTTGCTATGCGTGCAAAAATGTCAAGGAGCTAGGCCAAGCATGTCTACAATTGTTTTTATGTTGGGGAATGAAGGTGTGTTACCTGAAGCTAAACAACCTGGTTTTTTCACTGAAAGAGATGTATTCCCTGCTGAAAGTTCAACTAGAACAAATGTAGACAAATCATCATGCGAAATGACCATTACTCTTCTAGAAGGTAGATAAGAATAGTGTTGCACACTTATATTACATTATTTTCGAAACCTCATTTTTGGTTAATGTCCTATATATGCAAGGCCATGATGGCGCTAAATGAGATTGTGTAAAACTTGGAACACTTGATACTTATGTGTATGATTTCACTGGTGTCATCGTAAGGAATAATATATGTTCAAAACTTTCATGCTACCTAGGATTTCGATGATTTACTTTGTGAGATTTATTCTAAGGTTGGATTTAAATAAAAAGGATATTCATACTTTATGCATAAGTACCATTAAACTAGAGTTTTTATTCATTTTATATTTGAACAAGTGGAGGATTGTTGGATATTTGTTCAAATTAACAATGAGAAGTGATATTGGAAGTGATGGAAGTAGTTAATCATGAGAAAAATAAGCGAAAACAAAACATGAACAAAAAATGGTGAAGGCCAAAGAATGGCTTGGGTGGCCATCCTGCCTTGTTTTGTAATTATAGTGGCCATTTTGTTGAATTGGGTGGGCGCTCGATTTTGACACTGAATACAAAAATTTTTGACTGTTGGCTGTTTGAATTCTAATGTTATTTCAAAGTGTTTTACACCCTTTTGGCTTAGTTTTTGCATCTTTTTCATGTATGGTGATTGTAGCTCTATATATATGGCTGGTTTTCATATTGGAAAATATATCACAAAAATCAAATTGATTCCATTACATCCAAAATTTGAGTTCAAACCATGTGTTTTTTTTATTTTTTTATCTTTTTTGTTCTTTAGTTCCCTTTTCCAAGTCTTTGCTTGATTCAAACTTGGATTAAGGTTTGTTTATTTTTATAAACTATTTTCCATAAAGCCTTCGAACACTTACCTCGGTGGCGATAAATATCGTTTGAGGACATCAATTTGTAATCGTGTTCAAATCGTCCATTTTGTCAATTTTTTGCTGGTCTTATTTTCATTCTTCATCAACTTTGTTCAACATCTAATGCATTTCTATAGTTGTAACATTATTTTCTGGTTAATGATTTTATCCAATGGCTACATGACTCCAGTATGTAGTGGACAACTTTCTCCCGATAAAATCAGATGTATTTAGCTTTGACGTCGTGGTACTAGAAACTACAAGTGAAAAAATAAATTGGCACCATGTATGCAAAACATGTATGCAAAACACATATATGCTAAACACATATCCAGTAGTAGATCGTCGTCTATCTAGATCACCTGCATAATCCGAGTCCACAAACCCACTTATATGACATGCAT